GAGGACCAGCTACAAAAAAAAAAAAAAAAAAAAAAAAAAAAAAAAAAAAAAAAGCAGAAGCATGGAGAATAGAGGTTTTGGGTAAATTCCCTGGCAGGCTGGTTATAATTCCCACCTAAGAAAGCTTGTCAGAATGTAAATTGGTGGAAAATACTAGTCCGACAATAACCTTAAATCTATTTAAATTGATTATAGAAACAGTAATGCACTTGCAATTGCTGGTACTTTAACTGGTCGACATATAACACATTCCTACGACACGAGTCAGAAATGATTGCAATGCTGTGAAAGAAACTTGCTGGTCTGCATAGTCAAAAAGGATTACAAAGAATAAACCACAAGCATAAAATATTCTCAAATTATTACCATGGATGAGAAGAAACTGGGTCTGATTTTTAGGGAAAAGTTTACATAAAAGAAAGAAGAAAGGAGACCTCTACTAGAGACTCAAGGTTGACATTTGCTGTGTGACCTTGGGCAAGTCACCAGTCTCTGAGTCTGTTTCATCAGTGAAATGAGAGGGCTGGATTACATGACCAGAAAGGTCCATCCCAGCTGCAAACTGCTACAGAGCTGGATGGAGACTCAGTCTCCATTTGACTTAAGTATTTCCTAAGTACTTCCTAGTAAAAGCCAAAAGGTTTGGCATTCCCAAGTGTCTCCTGTATGTTAGGTTCTGTGTTAGCTGCCCTACGTGATTTAACTTTTTTCATGCTCATAATGGCCCTTGACAGTTTATACGCATCACCCCATCCTAGAGAAGACAAAATCAAGGCTCAGAGAGAATATGTAACTTGCCAAGGTCACTCAGGCAGCAAGCAGCCGATCCAAGATGTCAGGATTCAAAGACTCAACCTCTTTCCATTTTCTACACCACTCGCTGGATAACCATGGCCTGGCCACACCAGAATGGCAGCAGGTAACTGAAATCATGCCTGTGCTGGCTCCATTCCCCAAGGCCAAATTCCTTAGGCAGTGGAGCAGAGGTCTTAATTCAGCAACGGAGTCCAGGCAGCTGAGTGGTTAGAAATTTGGGTTCTGGAGTCGGCATGCCTGGCATTCCCATCTCAGCTCCTCAGAAGCTGAGTGGCTTTCCCCAAACTTAGCCCCCCTGAGGCTCGGGTTTCTCAGGCAGATAACCTATTCCCAGGGTTGTTAGGGGGATTAAAAGAAGTTATCCCTGTAAAGCTCTCAGCAGACTACCTGAATATAGTAAATGCTCAATCATTATGTCCTACCTAGCTAAACAGGAGGGCATACAGGTAGTGACGAGCAGTTTTTAAGTTAATCTCTGGCAGGGGTTATGAACCCGGGGTCTACAAACGCCCTGAAATTATGTGCCAAAAGCCGTGTTCATGCTTTTCTTCAGGAAACATCCTTAACCTTTGTCAGATTCTTATAAGGGTCTGTGACCAGAAGGAGATTAAGATCTTTTGCCTGCTGTAGACCCAACGTCTTACACTATGAATCATTCCTGAAATAACAGCGTTGGCAAAAATTCCTCCTCAAATCATGAGAGGAGTTGCTGGGTTCTCTCAACATGGCCTCCCAGACACATGGGCCTCTAGCACTGATCACACAGCCCCAGAAACTGTGCCCACAGAGCTCCCAGGTGGTTCCTAGAAGGTCAGAAGACAAACCCCCCAATGAGCAGGAATTAGGCTTCAGGAACCTTCCCCAGCAGGGCCAGTTCCAACAATCCATTCTTCCTCGGAGAACAATCAGTGTGTTTGTTGTTGCATACCTCTAAGTTAAATATACCCGGAATGCTGGCTCTTTGCTGGAAGCTCCCAGAAGCACCCGGGGTTACCCCGCTAAAGGCACGCTGCTCCACGGCCCGATATGCAGCACCTGATTCCCCACAGACCTGTCACCTTCTCAGACCAGCCTTGCCCGGGAGGAGCCCGTGGTGCCGGTGGAGCCTCTGGCCCAGTAGGCAGGGCCCGAGCTGCCCACTGGCCCCTCTCCGGTTGTTGGGACAACTGTCCTCAGGAATTTCGGCCTCCCCGTCTTCCCCTGGGTGAGAAGGGGAGAGAGCTGGCAACCCCCCAGTGAAAGGGGAAGCTGAAAACTGGATTCCCTACCCCCAGCAGCCTCCAAGCCGGACAGCACACAAAACAGCTCAGGCCCAGAGAGAGGAACGTGCCAGGACATTCTTCAGGGTTGGTAACCCGAGACGCTATTCTGTTCTCTGCGGCTAAGAAATCACTTTTGTGACTGAAGGACCATTTGACTTACTTCTTTTAAATTCAGGGGAATGGACAGGTGTATCTCCTTGATTCAGATAAGGAAAAAAACCAAGACAAATGGGCGCGCGTGCACGCACACACACACACACACACTCAAGGAGCAGAATCTTTTTTTTTTTTAATTTTTTATGTGATATTTTGTTTCATAGCATTAACCAGCTGCAGAGATGTAACTGCCTTGGCAGAATTTCTCTCCCCTAACCTCACCACCCCAAAGAAGCCTGGCGCTTTTCAGCCTTGTTCAATGTTCTCCTCGCAGTGCCCTCACCCTCCTGCCTGCCGTCCCTCCTCCCAATTCTGCCATGGAGTCAGGAGGGAGAGGGCGAGATCAAGCCCGAATCAGCGAAATCCTACCTGAGAACTGGCAGGGGGCTTAGAGACATCTCATCAACCTTCCTCTCTCACCGAAGGAGCACTTGCACCTCAGAGAGGTCAAGCGATTTGCCTGAGGCCACACAGGTAGGATGAGAAGGCAAAACTCCCTTCTGGGGTGTGCAGGAGGGAATTCCAGGGAGTCAGAAGCGGATACCCTCTGCTCAGCTCTTTCCCCAAACTTTCAAAGTTGGCTTACCACAACAGTGAGCTCAGAACCCCTCAGCGCCCCAAGCTCAGGGGCCCCACCCCGGGCCGGTGCAGGTGGGATGACCAGCAGATATCAATACAAAGATGCAGCATTCAAACCAGTGGCCTACAAGGCGGAGAGAGACAGCAGCTCCATGAAGTGCCAATATGTTTTTAATGCCTGCCAATCTGCCTAAAAACACAGGCTGCACAGCCCTGTTGCTGGAGCCGTGGACAGGCCCCAGGAGTGAACTCAAACATAATGGCACTGTGGTTTCCCCCCTCCATTGTATTTTTAAAGGTTCCCAAGTACTGGGGGCAATAGATATTACTAGTTTCCCCTTTATAAAAGTGGCTAAAAAAAATTCAAATTGGGTTGACTTAAAGTCAAATATTAAGTAAGCAATAACACAGGTGGATATAGCAAAAAACGTGGTCCAAATAATACTAGAATTTGGGAAATTATGCTCTAGTCAAGTCAGTAGCCCACAGAAGCTATACTGCTTGCCCTCTCCCAAGGGTAAAAAATGACCGTTGTTTAAGAAGCTTTCTACAGCTGTGTTATCCTCTCAGCACCCCAGAGAAGTTCCTAGATGCATGACCTGGGCCGAGTTAGCAGTGTCCTCGACATTCAACTGCTAACAGCACACTGGACTCGGTAGCTGCTGGGACCTAAAATACGGGAGAACACAGAAACTTGAACTTGTGCCTGTATTAGGAGAGGACAAGGGACTGTCTAGTTCACCAACATAGCAACAGAGTCCCTGGGGCAACTGACCCTGAGGGGGGCATGGGGAAGGAAAATGAGTAGGACCACAAGTGTGGAGGTTAGAACTTCAGAGCCGGTAAAGAACTCGGCATAAGGCAGAGGGGTGGAAAGATCAAAACACAAGCAAATAGCACCTCCGGGCCTCAAAGTTTGTCTCACGTTTGAAAGTGGGAGTTGGGCCTTGATCTTCTATGTCCCTTCCAACTTTGAACAGTTCCACTGTTGGGCTTCTCTGGTGGCGCAATGGTTAAGAATCCGCCTGCCAATACAGGGGACACGGGTTCCAGCCGTGGTCGGAGAAGATCCTACATACCACGGAGCAACGAAGCCTGTGCGCCACAACTACTGAGCCTGCGCTCTAGAGCCCACGAGCCACAAGTACTGAGCCCACTCACCACAACTACTGAAGCCCGCGCGCCTAGAGCCCGTGCTCCGCAACAACAGAAGCCACTGCGATGAGAAGCCCGCGCCACCACAACTAAGGGTAGCCCCCGCTCGCGCCAACTAGAGAAAGCACGCACGCAGCAACAAATACCCAACGCAGCCAAAAATAAATTAAATTAAATAAATAAATTTTTTAAAAAAGAGTTCCACTATTACTCCTTTCCTTCCAAGCAAATCATCTGTCTGACAAATAGGGAAAGTGAGGCTCAGAGGTAAAAGCAGCTTGCCCACGGGACGCTCTCCAGCGTTAAAAATTTCTCTGGTACTGAACGCAGAGGAGGTACCCAGTAAATGTTGAATGAATGAACCAAAGTGCTCACAGAAGCCAGGAGGAATCTCAGCTCACATTTTCTTTCTGCTTTTTCTCAACCTTCCCCTCGCTACACACCCCATCCTGGACTTCTGGAACCTCCATCCCAACCCCACAGGATGAAGGGTCCAAACAATTCACCTCCATTGCTTTACAGGCACCTGACACCCAAGGTCACAGCGACCAGGTGAAAATTCCGCATTCCTGAGGCACTTCGACCACAGAGGTGACTGCGGTCCCAGAGGGTGGTCCTCCCCTCCCCCCAGGATATTCATGGGGAGGAAGTGCGTGTGTGCAAAGAAATGTCAAGCGGTCAAAACCAGGAGAAAGTCTGGAAGCTAAGAGCCACACACTCCACCTGCCTCAGCAAAAACAAATCCGGTGCTCCAGCCGGCCTGGTGCCCACCAAGGTCAGGACGCGCTGGTGCAGGGCTGAGAAGCCGCGGTCCCCAGAGGAAGGGAGGGAGGAGAAAGAGGGATGGGCAGGGCTTTGCGGAGGCCTCTCACCTCCATCTACATCCTAACAGCTTCCAAGTTGCCGTGAGATTCCTGGAGAACCGGTCTCCCCGATCAGACCTCCCCCGCTCCTTCCTTTCCTTCCCTCTCTCGGCCTCCAGGCCCCCAGACTGCTCCCGTGCTCCTCTCAGAGCCGCGGAGACACCTGTCAAAAACCACACTCCAGGCTGCCTTCCCCTGAACGCACGCAGTGTCCTTCCTCCAGCGGTCTCCCACTGAGTCCTGGGTGCCTGCCACCTGCTCCAAACCAGATGCTACCCCATCCCCCCTCCTCCCCAACCCTGTGCTGGGGAAAGCCTTCCCGGGAAGCCCCAGCATCGCTCGGCTAGGTTGCTCCCCCAGCCCCCGCCCGACCCAACTAAGGGGAAGCGGGGGGCGAGGGGCGGGGCTAGAGCTTAAGGTCAAAACTCCGGGCAGGTGCCGCCCGGGGCCTGAGTCCTCATCAGAGGAAGGCGGTGGCGGCAGCCTGGGCCAACTCACTTGGCCGTCCCCTCCTCCCGGCAGCCCACCCGGGCGGGAGCGGCGGTCCAGAAGGGGATGAAGGTGGAGCGTGTGGGGTGCGGGAAACCGAAGAGGCTCGCCGAGCTCCTCGGCATCCCCTGCACAATCCCGGCTGGTGGCCCGTGGGGCAGGAGGGGGCTTCTCGGGGTCCTACCTGTCCCGCGGGTCGATCCAGCTGGTAGTGCGGCTCGTGTGGTCTATGTAGTAGACCTTGCCGTCGAAGTCGTGCGCCTCCTCCCAGCCGTCCGGCAGGGGCAGCTCCGGCCGGGGCATCTTCCCGAGCGCGGCCCGCGCTCCCCCATGCAGCTCCCGGCCGCCGCGGGGGCCC